CAGACAACAATATGAACCCACCTTGTGTCATATGAGTATGCTTTCAAATCATCAACCGAGTCATTCCTCAAAAGGCTTATCAGCTATCGTTGGCACAACCGGTCACAATGCTTGCCATGTGATTCTCCGAGGCTCAACTGATGGACCCAACTATTCGGCTCAGCATGTAGAGTCATGTAGCGCACAACTTTCAAAAGCTGGCCTACGACCATCAGCGATGATTGATTGCTCGCATGGTAACTCACAAAAACAACTTGCAAGTTAAGTCGTTGTTGCTGAAGGTAGTTCGACACCGATTGCAATCGGTGTCAAAAAAACCGCTTCACCACCGTCTCAGGAGCCGTTCTCAAACGGTTGCTGACATGCAGCTCGTTCCAGAAGCGGTGGTGAAACGGTGTCCGAATCGGTTTCGGCGAAACTGGTTCCACACCTTCCTGGGCGGTTCAGGTGACGAAACCTTTGAAATCGTCACAGGAACCGGCCGAGGCCAAGGACCATTACCCCCTGGTGTAACTTAACAAAGTCCCTGTCATCTGCCAGACTTCGGTAAGTTAGCCGCTTTACACATATCGGGTTGATTCCCCGCTGCTTCTCGCACGCTTCGAGCGCAGTCTTTTAGAAGGTCAATGATCCCACGGATGACAGTGATATCTGGTCAAAAACTAGATTACTCCTGATATGTACTCACAACACAAGACAAACAAAAGTGGCCTTTGATTCTCACAACGGTTATATGTACCACACAGCGTGTCCAATCTTGAGCAGGGTTTCCGCAAAACTCGAGCAAATTGGCCCATAACTTTGGCAAGCTTTGTGCAATCATAAGCTTAACTAAGCCCCTCTTCCGACGCGTCCACGTCCGCTCTTGAAGTGCATCAAGACTCACGGCAGCTGTTTCATGCAACATTAGGTATGTGTCTCCTTTTACGTCCCCGGCCATACATATAAGTCCCCCCAAGTCACCTTGCTATCAATTTTTTCGCACTCAAACTCGCCCATTTTATCTCGAATAGCTATCAATAAATCCCAGCCAATCAACCAACTCCACCGCTTCATTTTTCGAAAATGTCGATAGCGACCTACATAGCTCCTTACTTGTTTACAGTGCCGTTGGCATTGCAGGCCTTCTGGCGACATCCGTATTACGTGAACAGCAAGGCGGCCAGCGCAGCACGGGCGTTCCTCATGCCAGCGACAATATACTTCGCGTTGACAAGCAATCGTGCTAGACACATCGAGCCTCGCGACACAAACTTTCATGTCAATTTTTCAATCTGTTCCTTCCTCACAGTGCATGTTGTATGTCTCGCCATACAGCTTGGGCTCTCACAGGACCCGCCCCTGCCAGTATCTAGTAAGCATTGGTATCATAATTCTATCTTCCAGAAATATGTTCTTATCCATGCACTTTATTGCAACAAAACCTCTAGATGAGCTCGAACCCAAGGAAAAGATGGGTGAAGATAATTCACAAAAATTGTCAGCAAGTATCGACGTACAATCAGCCCCTTCATGGGGTGAACTTATCAAGTTTACTGTTTGGTTTCTTACTAGGTATGTTACTGGGTTGTCCTAGACATATGCCAATTTCAAAAACTCGAGAAAGTGACTGGAATATGAAAAGTTGAATTTCCTACTTCTGCTTTCAATTAGCCCTCGGTTTGTTGGAACTACTTGGGCTCCTCCAAAATCTGTGTTACCTCCTGCTCCTAAGCTGTCTATGAGAGATTTCTTTACAAAGACTATGAAGAATACTTTGAAGCATCACTTCTTGTTTGTATTATGTTGGTTTGTGGGTGTAATAATTACACAGCATCCGCAGGGATGCTATGGGTTTCTGACCCAAGAATGTAGGTTACCTGAAGGTCGCTTGTTGAAGATTTTAGCTCCATACT